AAAATCCGTCCTTACCAAGAGGACGCAAAAGAAAGCCAAAGGGCTGGACTCCTCTTGTCCCTTCAAGGACCCACTTCCAGTGACCTAAAGACCTCCCACCTATGCCAGAGGCTGGGAAGCTGGGTATGTGTTAGCGTTGGAGGAACATCCAGAATTCAAACTGCATCAGGCCCCCAGCTGCATCCACACCATTTAGAAGAGAAGGTGGATGACTCCTGAGGGATTACCTGAGGGAGTAAATGCTTCCCTCAAGCTGCTGAGCCACCTACTACCACAGGGAAGCTAAGCACACCCCTGTAGGGAGGGGCAGAAATAACTCCTAGAGACTGTGCCCCTCATCAAGACACAATACGCGTGAAAACACCTTGGGAACAGTGGAGGAGGGCAGATGACCCCATACCATACCAGCAACATTACCCTAAGGTCAATGCCTCACCTGGTGCTTGGGCAATGCCCACCTGGCAACCCTGGTCCTTGGGAAACACCCAAGGACAGCAGCTGAGCAATGTGGTCTGCATGCCTTCTCAGCCTACCTATTGGAGCACACACAACTTGCAAACAAACTCAATGTTCTCACATCTCATGTGGGCACTCCCAGACCTTAAACCAAATGGGCAACACAATCCAGGGAGACAGCTTCTTGGGGAAGAAGAGCCCCAGATCACTTTGACTCAATGACAGCAAAACGACACACCTTCACCATTTCTCCCTCTGTTAGTGCTTAGCCCAGCGGGGTGTGCACTGTATTCCCAAGTATGTCTGGAAAGCTCACAAATAAATCCATTCCCATATTTAGGATGAGAGGAAAAAAAAAAGTCTGCTCTATGCCAGTAACTGGCTGGGGCCCGGTGTTTGGCACTGAAGTCAGAGTTAGCAGTTTGTACGCTTTGAAGTGAGAAGGCTTTCCCCCTCTTTTATTAGCAATGAAATGAACTTTAAAGGAAAAAAAAAAAACGTTGGTGAGGAGTATTTTTCCATGGCAAGCCATGTAATGTCTTTGGTACAATTCCCTATTTAGAAAGCAGAGCTGCCTTAAGGCACTTGGGACTACCTGGTATATCTCACACAACTCTTGCCTATGAGAATTTGGTCAAGTGTGGGTATGTTCAGTGGACCACCATCTCTTATGCATCTGGCAGGAGCTAAAATGTTACAGTGGAATATTTTAGAGCAGTGATATCCAAACTGGGCCTCCACACCCAGACCTCTCTCTCTCTCTCTCTCTCTCTCTCTCTCTCTCTCTCTCTCTCTCTCTCTCTCTCTCTCTCTCTGTGCATGCATTATTACATGCACATATTATCTTGAGGGACTTCAACAGGCAACCTGGATGAGTCTGATGCAAGCCCTTACTGAGAAAAACTCACTTAAAATGTGTTGGCCAAAAGAATCGGGGTTTTAAATTGTGCAGAATTTTTTTTTTTTTTGCAGAAAGATTCAGAACTCATTTGTCCTGCCAGGAAAGGAGAACATGTGTGTTCTTGACTTCCCATAGGCTATTTCCATGGCTGGAGAGATGGTTCAGCTGTTAAAGGCTAGGCTTACAACCACGAGCTATTTCCAGAGTGACTAGGCTTTTTCTGACTTTGCTGATTAGGAAGTCACCTCAGGTCAACAGATGTGCTGAGGAGGAGGTGGCATCTGACTGGGACAGGGTCTTCAGCTCCTGACTTGGGAGCAAAGGTGAAGTCTGGGGTCTCCCTTCACAGAGCCCTGAAGTCAGAAGCCCTGGGAACTGTGAAGAAAATTCAAGCACATTACCGCCCTGGCTTTAGATCCAGTTTCCCTGGAAGCCCCACACCAACAGGGAACTCTGGGAACGGAGGTAAACTAAGGAATTTAGCTGTGCTCCACTTTAGAGCATTTAAGCTGCAATGGAGAAATTTCGATTGCATGGTTATGGTACCCTGGGAAAACAATCCTCATCGATTCTCCATAGCCGAGGGCCATGCTATTCACCATGATGGACAGACACAAGCCAAGGTCTATAGATCTAAGTGTGCTACTAGAAAAATGAAGAAATGGGGTGTCCCTTAAAATCTTCCCAATTCCGCATCTTTAGAAGAGTCCCCCAGGAGCTTCTCTGATTTCACAGATGTTCCCTGGGACTTCCTGGGTGGCTGCTGGGCTTTTCCACACCACACTACAAGGTGCTGTAGGAAGATGAAGTTCTGACGGTGGGAAAGAACTCCTTCGTTCTACAGCCCTTCCTTCCCTTTGCCCGCAAGGGAAGACCTGCCTTCAACCCTGTGAGAAACACTGCAAACAGAATGGACTAGACAAAGAAATACTTAATCACATTAGTGGGGAAACTCTCAGCAGAAACAATGCATCTTTTCAATGGCTGAAGATTTTGTGAATAGACAGAATGCTTGCTGCTGTATCTGTTTCTGGCTCTCGGGGGGAGAAATACCATTTACCATTAGATACTAGCTCAGTTCCAGAGCTTCAAAGAATTATGTTCATCTGATAAAACCCTACTGTGGAGTCAACTGCAAAGCACGGTTTATGAAAATCACTAGAAGCATTCTTAAAATATTCACTTCTAAAAAGCACCCTTTTCCTAGAATGCTTCCTACTCTAAGGAGTGGCTATGGCTAGGGCATGCTGGGAATAGTGCCTCCCGGGACCCTTCCTCCTCTGACCACACCTAAACCCAGCTGCTGTCCCTTTTGGTGACACAGTTGTGACTGGAGAAAGCCCTTCTGAGGCTTCATGTGGGAAGTCAGACTGGTCCTGGGCATGCTCTATACATTTGTCTGTCCAGTACCATGGAACAGTTTAATAGGTCCTTGCTACTTCTCAGCCAATCAACAGACTGCTGAATCAGGTAGCCGGTTAGATGCTGCTGTGGGCCACGGAGTGAAGGCTAACATCGCACGCTCACATCCTTTCCACTTGGATCTCACCCCGGAGGAAGACCAGAGATGCTAAATAGATCTTTGATGAAAACTCTATCAGTCCTCTCACTTGATGTCAAGCAGGAGCCTCAGTCTTACCTAACTGTGTTGTTTCAAAATGACCCATTTGCTTCCTGTTGAAACCAACCAACAGAAAGGAAGAAAATGCAACAGTTTAAGTAAAATCCGAAGTTTTCATACAAAAGTGCTGCGCAATTTAACTGAAAAGGAGCACTTCTTGACTCCTTATTGGTGGGAACAGCTCACTGTCTGCAAGGACAGCCATATATCACTTAATGAAGGGGACATCTGGGAAATGAATCCTAAGGTGACTTCTTCATTCCCCGTGGAGAGTATGTACACACACCAAGATGGCTAAGGTATGATGTCACTGGGACATATGACATCATGGGACTGTCCATAAATGTATGTTGCCTTTTGTTGACTGAACTGCTGTCATCCAGCAGAAGACACACATGACCTTTGCTCTTGCTCAGGGGAGCCGTAAGCACCCTAAAGGGTCCATGATGAATTCAGCCTCTCTGCAGTTTGAAAGTCAGCCACTTTATGAGAACGGGACTTGGCAAATGGCCCAATTCAACACATTTAGAATTGTAGTTACTAGAGCAAATGTACACAGAGTGGGGCTTGCTAGAGCAGTCAAGGAAAGGAAGCATTTGTCAAGGAAGGGCTTTGTCTGCTAGTCAGGCACCCGTCGACCCATCCTGCCAGCAGTGGCTCTCTTCTGTTTTAGACATTTACATGCTGTTTGACTCCTTTCCCCACAGATATCAATGGGAGGCATACAAGCTCACTCCTGCAGGACAGGGCCAGCATTCATGGAGGTTCTGGACACTTAGGGGGTATCGGCTGACTTATTTACCAGGTAAAAGACCAGTGATAATAGCCTGGGCTATCTCATGAACAAAAGCTCTTGGACATGAATCTAGACCCAGGAGTTTGTATTTATTTCTGTAAAGGCTGCAGAGCTGGTAGTCAGGACTGCCAAGCCCTGATCCTCAGTTCATCTCTTCCTACCCCCGCTTCTGTTTCCAGTATTGTAAGCACCCTACTGCACACTCAGGAGGCTGAACCAGCACGGACATCTACTCTAAAAGCTTATGCCCTGTAAGAGATGTCTAGTATTAGAGACAATGACAGTCTCGCCGATAATGGAGACCTAGGGTTGTACATGTTTGTTTGCATCCAGAGAGATGCCAAGGCAGAGCTGGACAGCGGGTTTCTGGCTCTTTGGGAAGGAAACACAGAGCCTAGAGAATGGACCTAAAGTGGTAACACAGTAGTGCTTCACTTTACAAAGAGGGATGAGCCTAGCTTGTGAGGCTGCTAGTAGCTCTTAAAGCCTAGGGCTTGGAGCATCCCTTTGTGGGGATCTAAGAGGATTCTGACTATGTGTAGCCAGCCCAGCATGGCTTTATGGTGTGGGCTCATACAACCTCCCAACTCCTTTCTCTCCACACCCGATGTGATAGAGTTCTATGACCTAATTGGTCATTGTTAGTGGTTCAATGTTAGACAATTGGGCATAGGTTAAGTAAAAAAAAAAAAAAATCAGAAACAATTCAAACAAGAGTAGTAAGATCTCTAATCTCAGCCTCTTTGGCTGGCTTGAAGATATGAACAAAGGAAGATTCCTGCATACCCACTACCTGGTTACTAGAATTCTTAGGCTGATATTTTACAAGTGACCAGTTACCAATTAAGCAGTCAATCATATACTTAACATTGAATCTGTAATCAAGACAAGCTTTGATCATGACTGCCTCAAAACCACTCCCATTTTGTATACAATTACAAACAGTGTTGTTGTATACAACCGGCACATAACTAAGGAAATGTGAGCACACCATGTATGTCAGAGGATTGAGGGTGAAATGTTTCATGGTATTTAAATGTCTCACACCACTTCTGCGGATGAGACAACCTCTCACAGCTGCTTGAATTGGTTCATCGACTGCTAAGCTTTGACGCAAGCAGATGACAAGTGCCTTTACCCAAGTTCGCTGTTACAAGACACAGAAAGCTGGTTCGCTCACCTGTGCACAAACGTAATGGAGGGACACACACAATCACAGTACTGACCTGCCCTTTCATGTCAGGAGCAATGGGGATGGTCGGCCAGATGGTGGAATAGACACCAAAAAACACCAGCCAGATCAGCATGCTTCCCCACACCGCCAGGTGACTGAACTGTGGAGGAAATAAATGCTTAGACAGGGCTTTCTGCTGGCCCCGGGGGTGGGGGTGGGAGTGTCTACTCCAGCCCATAAGTTGCCCAACCCGCATCCCACATCCAAGTCCCTTTCCTGATGGGAAGAAACTGAGGACGGACTCGTTACTGGAGAGCTCTGCCTTTCTCAGTAAGCTCCTTGTCTTAGGATTTGTAATGATGAACCTGAATTACAGGTGGCTTACACTATCCCAAAGATGGAGGTGCGTTAAGCCCCCAACCTTCTGCTAAAATACAAGCCCCAGCCATGACCCACCCAACCCTGGGGTTATCTCGTGTCTGTTTTTATAAAACAGGGGTGCAGCCATCAAGTGAGAGAGAGGTGAAATGGACAAATAGAATATTCTTATCACTTAAAGACAACATCTGTCATATTTATTACAGAGACCATTTAAAAACAACTCGGAATGGCTAATGCCCCCTTTAAAAACTTGAAACATTGCATTTAATAGAGTTTTAAAAAGCCGGGTGGTGGTGGTGCACGCCTTTAATCCCAGCACTCGGGAGGCAGAGGCAGGCGGATCTCTGTGAGTTTGAGGCCAGCCTGGGCTACCAAGTGAGTCCCAGGAAAGGCGCAAAGCTACACAGAGAAACCCTGTCTCAAAAAACCAAAAAAAAAAAAAAAAAAATCCATGTACAATTGTTCACATTCACAGGTACAATGTGACACTCCAATGCATGTATATAATATGCAATGATCAGGTCAGGGTAACTGGCACATCCACATCCACAGAACATCATTTCTGAACTTAAGGAACATCCAAAATTCTTCCTTCCAGTTGTTTTGAAAGTGGGTACTCAGTATAGTTACCCCACTTCCTACAGGACATTAAAGTCCCTGCTTCCACCCTGCTCCACTGCATCTGCTAGTTCCTCCCGTGCATCTCCTCCTCCTCTTCCTCCCCCTCTCCCTCCTCCTCCTCTTTCTCCTCCTCCTTCTCCTCTTCCTCCTCCTCTTCCTCAGCTCTAGTCACTAAAACTTTATTCTTCACTTCTGTGACACAAACATCTTATGCCTCTTTAAGTTGCTGGCCTCTTTCCTTTGTGCTCTTAATACAACCCTTGACTTCTCTCTTCACAAACTACAATCCAATCCCTCGGCAAGCTCTGCCTTCCGGGTTCTAGTTTTAAACTAGCACTTCTGTGGGAGCCCGTTCTCAGGTTCCTCGTGGCTTTACCCAGCAGGTCCGCATAGAGGATGATTAGGACCACGGGCCTGAGTGCAGGTGTCTGGGATGGTCTGCACTTGGCTGTGCTGGGGGAGGAGGTCTTTTGCTCCACCCCTTGGCGTCTCTATAAAAACCCTGGGGCAGAGACAGTCGGGGCTGTTGGAATAGGTTCCAGGCCCTCTCGAGGCTATCCTTTATTTTCTATCTGTTTATCTCCGCAATATTCTCCACAATAAATCCTTCTATCTAATATTTCCTGCTGCTCGCACTCAAGAAAACTCTGGGGAACTGTGGGGGTGGTTGGGTAAACGCCCCACACACTTCCATATTCTGACACTCACTACCTCTTCCTGCAATATTCCAGGCTAAGCCGCTATTCCCACCTCCTACCTGCCAACACCCTTTGACAGATTTCCCGGCTCCATGGTGACCTTCCATCCTACCCCAGTTACTTAGTACCAGAGCAGGAGGTAAGTGAGCTACAGTCACACTGTGGCAGACAGACACTGTGAAGTGTGGTTCTTATCCCATCTTGGAAAGAACCAAACAGGAAACGGGATGCTGATAAAACAAACCCGGGATAGCTATGCAATTTGGTATCCTTTAATCATGAACAATCGTTTCACAGAAGTGTGCTTTAAGGATTCAAAATGTGAGACTTTAGGAGAAAAAACAGATGACAAAACTCTGTGCCACAATTCACCCATTCATTTAAGGATGCACACAAAGTCAGAGGTCAAGAGACTGCCCAGGAGTGCCAAGGTAGAGTCATGTGCAAATACTACATTTTCTGACTTGTTCTTCTGCATTCTCTCTCTCTCCCTCCCTCCCTCCCTCCCTCCTTTCCTCCCTTTCTTCCTTTCCCTTTTCCTCTCCCCCATCCCCTCAGTAATAATGAGAATTTTCATTTCAGGCAGGTAATAATCAGTAGCTGTAAGCTGGGCTAGGTGCCGAGCAAGTTAAGCACCAGGAGAGGTTGGATCCCAAATTGCCTTCCTAAAGAGCAAAAACAATTTTTACTTGCAAAATTTGAAATAAGACAACTGTATAGTATTTCTTGTTTCCCCAAGGATTAAATGGAAGTCACTGCACACAACTATCTATAACGGAGAAAGAAATAATTCCAAAGACAACTCACTTTAGTCCAAGCTGTTGTCTCCAAACCTGCTTTCAGACAAACTGTTACCACAACGTACTGTGAAGAGAGAAAAAAAGAGAGAGAGGAGTTTTGTATGATGCAAGTATTTCTTGATCAGTCTGAACTTCAAGAAAGCCTTAGCCCATAAAGACGTGGAATAAGTCATTTTAATATGGGGAGCCTTGTGTAACTGGGGAGGTATAACCCTCATGAGTGCCCTTTAGGAATGGCTCAACAGTGCTAAACTTACCGTGTAAACAATATTTCCAACAAACAAGTAGTCTGTGGCGTGCCCACTGGCCAGTGGAGTATCTAGAAAACAAAGAAGACACTGTTAATATCTAGAGGCTACAGTACAATCTGTCTTCTTTTTTTTCAGAACATAGAAAATGGAACAGTAGAAGTATCTCTCAAAGCGTGAGGTCATTTCAAAACCGACTCCTTCGTGATTCTAAAGGTCCTTTCTCATTATAATGGGATTGTTTTTCACTTTATGTGTCCTTCAAATGAATAAAACAAAATCAGATGTTCAAATAAAACTAATGGTTGATTTGCATTGAATTTATATATTTTTTTAAACAAATTATCATTTGGTCTGCTTGAAAACAAGTTGAACAAGGACCACCAAGGACACATCAAATGCCTCAGCTCTAGGACCTTCTCAAACCTTTCTCTTAATATTTGCTGAAGTGGGACTGGGCAGCATCAAAGTAAGCGCAAAGTGACTGACTCTATTGGGGAGATATTCATGGTTCTTGTTCTCACTCAAGCGCCTGTGCTCTGGGAGTGAAAGTGATCCAGTGAGAGGTGTTTCACACAGCTGGGACTTCAAAGCTTCGTCTTCTTTCTTTCTTTCCAAGGGCGGATCTGCAAGGTCCCTAGAAGCCATGGAGCCAGAGAGACTCTGCTTGGTGACCACTCTGGAAATCTGACTAGGATCCCAGGAGTGCAAAACAAGTTTAAAATCAAGAATGGCTTCCCATCTCCTTCCCTCCTTTGCACTCAGGTTCAGGTGTGTGTGTGTGTGTGTGTGTGTGTGTGTGTGTGTGTGTGTGTGTGTGTGTGTGTGTGTGTATGATGACGACAACACACAAGCTAGGTAGCAGGGATTGCTGTGTGAACACTTCCAGTGAAGCTGCTGCTATCCATGAATATTTGGGCTGACTTACTCAGCTAATCTGTTGAAGATTCTGTTTACTTTCCTAAAAAGGTGTGATAATCAGGTTGAGTTCTAGGTGGGTTCTGGTAGTGGGTGGGTCCCTGGATCAGCTCTAGGGTATAGCTTTGCTCCTGGTCCTGAGAAGTCAGTTTGCGACCAGAGGAAACTTAAACACAGAGTGGTGGGCACCAGGGCCACATTAACGACATCCAGGAACTTCCATGACTGCTGCTGAGGTTGGAAGAGTTACACTAGGAGATCAGAAAGGGATTCTATCCCAGACAGAAACAGAAAGCTCTGGAGACTGATGGGAGAGGTGATGAAGAGAGGTGAGAAGGTGAGGGAAGAAGTCATTGAAAGTAAACAGAGAAAGTTGAAAAGGGAGCAGCTCAATTAATTTCAGTAAGTCAATAAACTGGCGTGAGCCGAGTATCCCTCATCTGAAAACCTAGTCTTAAGTGCTTTGGAATCCCATGGAAGCCTTTTAGGTTTTGGGTTAGGGATAGTCAATGAGTGAAATCTATGCTAATTATTCCACAGTTCAAAATCTTTGAGCAAGCAAATGCTTCTGGTCCCAAGCCGGGGACACTCATCCTGCCCTTACACACAGCCATTGTAAACTGAACTTAGAGTGTCTATCACTAGTAACTGAGTCTGAGGTTATTATAAGAGTAGATGCAGCACCTTAAAGACATACTCCACTAAGGGTCACGTGAGATTAGACAGGGGTTGTTTATTTGAGTTTAACGAAGATCATAGCCATGAAAGGAGGAAGCTCAATCTTTTATGTACTCAAATCTATCTACTCTATGCAAGGCATTGTGGGAACTCGGAAGAAAAGGCTCCAGTCTCCATGGAGTCTGAATGACAGTCGGGGAACAGAGCATACACAAATGAACAAATGGATATACAGTCAGCTAGAGAAAATTTAAGATATACTGTTTGAATACAGAGTGGCCAGAGATGGTTGTTTTAGTTAGAGAGGTGACCCGGAAACAGATCAGAATGATAGAGAGGAGTTAGTTCAATGATCATCAAGAACAGGCTCCTGGGAAAGAAAAGACGTTGTTAATCTTAATTAAAACAGTGTTTGATGAGCTCACAGTTCATCATGAGGACCAGTCTGTCTAGAAATTCAGGGAGCGAGCAAACAGTCAGAGGCCAACAGACGCAGGCTGGACCAAAGAGTCCTCACTTCTACGGTGGTCAGCACTGATGAAGCTGGAGGCTGCTGAGCCTGCCACGAAATCGTTTGGAGTATTCTCAAAGGAATGGTGCAGCTCCTGGGTGAACAGAACAGGGAGAATGACAAAGTACAGTGCCAGTCTGGCAGGGATGGCAGTCAGCCATGCAGGTGATGGAGGGTGAAACCGGCAACAGCAGAGTTACGTATCCACTGTGGCAGCCACTAGCTCCGTTTAGTTGTTTACCTTTAAATTAATTGAAAAAAAAAATCCCAGAGGCTTGGGAGGAGAGAGAGGAGAGAATGAGATGTCATTTAATGAGTTCCGAGTTAAAAGTTTGAGGTGATGAAACAGTTTTGCAAACAGCCAGAACAGCAAGCTCCGCGCAACTAGTGTCTCTGACTTGCATACGTAAAATGGTTAAAATTGCAGAATTTACTTATGTCTGTGCCTATGATCACAATATAAAATTAACAAAACATGATCACGGGGCCAAAGCCAGACAACCTTTACAATAAATGGAAGCAGTGCATCTTTCCAGCCCCAGATTTAAGAATGATCTCAAGAAAAGACACCAAAAGTACGGTGACAAACCAGGACCAATTAGACTGGATCAAAACTTTTATGCTTCAGAAAATGAGAAAAAAAACTAAAGAATGGAGAAAACACTTGCACATTATGTGTCTGATAAGAAGCTTGTGTCTAGGACACAGAAAGAACCCAACAAACAACCTAAAACTTCTCAGTATGAACCTGGGCAAAGGATCTGAGTACATATATTAAGGGAAGACACACAAATGACTAACAGGGATTCAGAGAAACTCAACATGATTGGGAATAAAGAAAACAATCCCAGAGCCACTTGAAGAATCACTTCATACCCACGAAGATGCCAATAACAAAAATGACAACCAAGAGACAGAGAGTCAGAGAGCCGGGCAGTGGTGGCGCACGCCTTTAATCCCAGCATTTGGGAGGCAGAGCCAGGCGGATCTCTGTGAGTCCAAGGCCAGCCTGGTCCACAGAGTACCCAGAGAAACCCTGTCTCGGGGGTGGGGGGAGAGAGAGAGAGAGAGAGAGAGAGAGAGAGAGAGAGAGAGAGAGAGAGAGAGAGAGGAGGAGAGACCTATAATTGTTCACACACGGCTGGAAGCTGAGTAAGCTGTGCAGACATTTTGGGAAACTATTGGCACTTCCTAAAAAAGAGTGTGCACATTTATTACATGACTCAGTAATTCCCAAGAAAAATGAAAATGTGAATGAAAGACAAAAGCTTATACATGAATGTTCAGAGCAGCATTATTCACAACTGCTCATGAAGTCTAAAACAATGAGCATCATTATTCCCTATCCACAGTAGCCTATTCAGAGTGCAGATGTCCATCAAGTGGTGAATGCACAAATAAATGTCCATCACTCAGTGAGTGGTGCATCAATACAATAGAGTATTATGAAGAAATAACAAGGAATGAAGTGTGGGTACATGCCACGATGTGGATGAACCTTGAAAGGGGAAAGAAGTTAGGATAAAATGTCCAGGGGGGACAGACCTACACAGACATGGTGCAAGCAGCAGTTGCTGCGGGTTTGAGGGCCGGGTGACAGCCTTTGGGGGTGACGAAGCGTTTGAAAGTTGATGATGATGATGATGATGATGTGGTGGCTGGGTTGTGTAATGGAATTATACCTTGAGATGGGAGAATTGTACAGTGTAAATATAGAGACACAATTATACAACGACGAAGCTGTTACAAAGACTTCGTTCCTTAGCCACACTGGCCACATTCCAAATGCTCAGAAGTTGTGTGTGGCTAGTGGCTACTGTCCTGGGCAGCAGAGACATGCACCATCTCCCCCTTCCTTCAGTCCAACTGACAACTCAGGGCAAGAAAGGCCACACCAGGGGTACTGAGAAGTGACAGAAACTGGTGAATATTTTAAAGTAGGGATGGCAGCATTTGCTCACAGTTTGGAGGTAGAGAAAGAGGGAGGGTGAGGAACCTCAGCCTGAGCAGTGAGGTAAACAGGGTCACTGACTTGTGATGGAGACCAGCAGTCTGGCCTTTACCACAGGGAGACTGGCCAGAGGAGGAGCCCATGAGGACCTGTAGTGGTGTTTTCAGTTCACAATAGGAACGGCCAACACAAAACATGACTATGTACAAGAGAAGGAATTTGGTAAATGAGGCAAGGGAAGGAATGAGCTTAGCAGGCAGATCCTGGTCATGAGAGTTAGGAGGTGCTGGTACAGCCTGCCTCTCCTACCCTAGTACTACTGGAAGAGAGTGTTTTAGATTTGAGGCTGAGCCCTACACGCCTCATTTCTAACACGGAGGTTTCCTATCAGGGACAGAGGTTAAAGAGGAAGATGTGACAATGACCGAAATGACCCCCAAGTTTTCCCTGGGGCAGGAAATGTATGATGCTCTTAGCTGTTAAGTCAGCCCCGTGCACGTAATGGCAGAGGTGCCAGCCTCAGCTCTCCTCCTCTGCTAGGTCCAGATGGATTTCCCAGTCTATCCATCCTGTGTACTCACAAGCACCGAGACTTTTAACTGAGATGAGCAGTGATCTGGAGCCTTGATGTTCCATCTCCACTAAGTCCTGGGGAACCCAGAAAAACTCTGGCCAGGTGGGAGAGTTGATGGAGAGGAAGACTAAGCCCCAAACTGAAGCCCACAGTCCTGGTCTCACGGCTTCTGTTGATGTTTGTTTGTTGGGACAGTCCCCAAATACTGGCATTACTGACACACACTGCCACATCTGGCCTGATGGTTGTTTTGTTTCTTTTATCTCTGGTGGGGGTGACAGAAGTCAGGGATGTGCACATGTTAGGCAAGTACTCCCCACTGAGGTCTACCCCCAGCCATTGCTGTGTTTTGGAGACAGGGCATTGCTGTAGCCTCACCGGCATCAAGCTTGTAACACTTGCCTCAGATTCACTAGTATTGGAATCACAAGTGTGCAAA